GAATCTTCATTGCTTTCCTGGTTTGCTTCTGACTTTGGTGCTGTAATGCCTGCCCCAGTGTAGGTACTTTCACCCTCCAGCCCTCACTCTTTTGTTCTCTTTTGTCCTTGTCTTCTACCATTAGAATGTAAGCTCCTTGAGGGCAGGACTGTCATTCTTTTTGCTTCTATTTATATATCCCTAGTGGCTAGCACATAGCAAGTGTTCAACAAATTTTTTTTTCATTGTTGTTTCCTCCAATAACTTTGGCTATAGCATTATTCCTTTCTTCACCCATTTGGTGGTGGGCTGAAGACAGCTTTTACTGGCTGATTGTTAAATTTTCAATGTGAGCATTTATAACTTGGAAAGCAGCAAGTGGTACTAATTAGGGGGTGACTTACTGTTTTGTTGATTGTCTAGTTTTAAGAAGATGAAGGAGAATACGTTATTAGTTCAGATGGAACTTTTTTTTTTAGGCAATTGGGGTTAAGTGACTTGCTCAGGGTCACACAGCCAGTAAATATCAAGTGTTTGGTCTGAGGCCTGGTTTGAACTCAGGTCCTCCTGACTTCAGGGCCGGTGCTCTATCCGCTGCACCACCTAGCTGCCCCCAGATGGAACTTTTAAAATGTGTCCTGTATGAATCTTTGGGGAAGAGCTGATTGTTAAATACTTACCTGTGTACACCTGCCACTCTTAAGTATTGCTTCTCTTTACTTCTTTCATCTCTCCTGTTAAGTACACCATTTGCTCATGCTACAGCATTTGTTTATCCTTACAGTGGATCTTCTGTTTTCTGCTGTTCTATATATAATTTAGAGGCAGCTAGAAGGCTCAGTGGATAGAGTGCTGGGCATTGAGTCAAGAAGACCTGAGTTCAAATCCTGTCACAGACATTTACTAGATGTGTGACCCTGGGCAAAGTGCTGTTTGCCTAAACCACTTGAGAAAGAAATGGCAAAACACTCCAGTTTCTTTGCCAAGAAAACCCCATATGGGGTAACAAAGAGTCAGACAGGACTGAACAACTAACAACAGTATGTGATCAAAGGTCCTTGAAATCGCCTATACTAAGATAGTCATTGTTAGAGGCATTTTTATGTCTTAGTCAATGGTAGAAAAGCTTACATATTCTGAAAGCATTTTTAAAGCTATCTAGGTAGGATATATTTGCCAGTAAATTTGATCTGAGAGTTAAGCTAGTATTTGTTTTAAGTCAATACTAGAGTAAAGCTGAAAGGCTTATTAGAAATATAAATGACTTAGTTTGTGCATGTGTTTCTATAGGATGATCTGGGATTGTTCCAGACTAGTGTTGTCAAAATCAAATAGAAATGGGCCATCTCCCCCGACCACACAATGTGTAAGGATCCCTGGCTGTCACATATTGACTTAGAAGACCATATGTTAACATTATCTATGTTCTATTATATTTTTATTTACTTTGTTAAATATTTCCCAGTTATATTTTACTCTAGTTCCAGCAGCACTAGGGTGTATTGTAGCAGCATAACATGGTTTATTTGACATCTCTGGTCTAGAGAAGGGATTCTTATCTTTTTGTATATATATGCTCCCTGCCTATGAACCCCTTCTCAGAATAATGTTTTAAAATACATAAAATAAAATATTAAAAATGAAACCTATTTATTTTGAAATACAGTTCTTTAAAAAATATATATTTATGTGGTAGCTAGGTGGCACAGTGGATGGAGTACCAGCCCTGAAGTCAGGAGAACCTGAGTTCAAATCTGGCCTCAGACCAAACCCTTGACACTTACTAGCTGTGTGACCCTGGGCAAGTCACTTAACCTCAATTGCCTAATACATACATACATATACACACATGTATATATATATATATATATACATATATATATATATATGTATATATATATATGTATATATATATACATATATATATATATCTACATATGTATCTGTATGTGTATATGTCTATATATAATGTGTGTGTGTGTGTGTGTGTGTGCGCGTGTGTGTGTATATATGTATGTTTATTAGACCCCAGGTTAAGTGCCTCAGTTCTAGGAAAAGTTGGAGTCAGAAGAAGAAGAAAAAAAGATTCAAATTCATTCATTCCTTCTTTGTTCAGCCAATATTTATTAGGTGCCTAGTCAATCAGCAAGCATTCCTTAAGCACTTAGTATATGCTACTTGCAAACAATGCATTGTGAGCTTAGAGATTATCTAGTCCACAGGATTCTTAGGTAAGAGTTCACTGACCTTCAAGTGGCCTATAGATAGATTTGAAGACTTCATGATCTTGGATGGGGGAAACAAATCAATCAATTACATCTTTATTTTGACTAGTTCCTAACTAAAATTTAACATTTCCTTCAATTATTTAAAAGCAATACTCTGAGGAGGGAGCCATAAGCTTTATCGAAACTGTTAAAAGTGTCCATGACACAGAAAAAGGTTGAGAACACCTTGTTTAGTTGAACCTTGTCATTTTTCACTTAAGAAAATAGGGCCCAGAAATTTGTGCAAGGAAGCAGAGTCTGTATTTGAACCCAAATCTCCTGATTCCAAACCCAGTGCTCATTCTCCTGTACTATATTTTCTCTATAATGTCCCACGAACTTCATTTTTAAACTCATTCTGGCCCTGGTAATCACACAATGGGAATGCCCTGTGCCCTTGAGCTCCCTCTTCTTATGGAATGACTCTCCCCAGAACTTCCATTTGAGGAGGGCATCCCAGGCCAGTCCTGTCTCTTATTCCTCTCCAAGCTACATTCTGTACGTCCTCTCTACCACAAAGGTACCAATGCAGGGTCCTTTTGCCCCTTCACTCCCTGCCCCTCTCCATTTATGTATTGTCTTTCCCCTGAAGTCAGGAGCTGTCTTTCTTACTGCTTGTATTCCTACCACTTAGCCTGGCACATAGTGAAAACTTAATATATGTTTGTTGGCTGACTGTCACTACCAATGGCAGTATCTAAATAACAAATGCTTAGTAAGTGTTTATAGAATGTTATTGCTATCTATGTTCCAAGTGTAGTTTACCGAGTTTCTTTCCAAGAAGAGAAGATAGAAACATCAAGAATCAGAACACAGATCAAAGTAGTGAAGAATCATATAAACACACACACATACACACACATAAACATCAACAAAACCTTCTTAAAAAGAGATGAAGGCACTTGAGGACACCTCTGTACATTCAAGGTTATCTATGAAGTATTCCTTTTAAAAACAGAAGTGGGACTTCAATAAGATTTTGAAAAGGACCTGAGTAGCAGAAGAGAGATTTGACATTTCTCAGGAGATCCTATATGAAGAGTTTCTCACAGAGAAGGAAGGCAAGGAAAAGGGGCCACTGTATATTTGGAACTAGGAAACAGATTTGAGGCTCTTCTTGAAGAGAAGGGAGTTGTGTGCTCTGAGGAAGAAGACACTGTTTTTTCTCCAAAGGGAAAAAAAAAATCACAAAAGCTATCAGGTGAGAAATCATCCAGGAAGAGTCAGAGAAAGAAGAGAAAATGGTTGGTGACTCCCAGCTCATGAGGACTTGGTCAACATGATAACAATAATTAAGAGAGAGAGGAATGCTGTCTATCTCTGGACATATAACCAAGCCATAACAGGGAACCTACCAACACTTACCAAACCAGATAACTTCTATTGACTTCTGGCGATTCATATAGGTGTCACTGTTATTGCCAGAAGGAAACTAAGAAGTTTTCTGAAGATTATGAAATCTTGGTTAAGAAACTGACGGTCACAGGGATAGGTGTTATGTTTTCCTTACTATTTTCTATTGAAGACAAAGGAACAAGAAAAGAAAAATGAATTTGGAACATTAATGGTTGCCTAAGAAAAAGAGATTTGGATTACAACTGAAAAATAGGAATGACAAATTCCCAGTCAGGAAAGGAGTACCTCCCCCTGCCCCCCCCAAAAAAAAACTGGTAAGGAAGCATTCATCAACTATCTTTAAATTTTAATTGAAAGGGCTTTTAAATAAAAATGATTGGGAAAGGAGAAAACTGTTTCTGTTTTTCCATTTCCACCAAACTAGACACACTAGAGAGCTGCTAAAAGGAAGGGAGAAGAATAGCAATTGAGACATAGAGAACTTCAAGGAGACAACCCATTGGCCTCAGATGTTCTTACACAAAAGCACAGAGTTTAGACAACAAGACTAAAATAGAATCTTTTTCATTTTTGCTTAAGGCTTGAGATGTTCCTTTTGCGATGATGAAGATCATTCAGTCTCTGGTGTTTGGAATTTAGGTTGCAGTCCTTGTCATTTGTATGGTTTGCTGGGCAGTCTGTGTTCTAACCACATCTCAAGAGAAGAATGGTGACCTGGTCGAAGCAGAAGTAGATGAAGTTCTACCTTTCAAGCATCACAGAGCTGCCAAAATTCTTCTCCAAGATGCAGTGCCAAGAGGGGTTGTACTCTTGCTAAACTACTTCTTGATATGGACTACTATGCCCTTCTATATGATCTATTTCTCCAGGGCTGGAGTGATTCACTCCACAGAGTCTAGCTACAACTCCTCTGACATGTCTGCATTTTAAATTATCACCTTGCAATCACGCATGGTAGCCATGGATTAGAGGTGCTGGTAGCTGTGATGCTTAAAATCCAATTGAAAGCAAGATAAGGGAGTAGAGAATTAGATAAACAACTACCTTTATCTAGTTTAAGTCACCAGGCCTGTATAATCTATATAATAGTTTGCATAATAGCTAGCATTAATATAGTACTTTAAGATTTGCAAAACCCTTTACAAATTTTAACTCATTTTATTTTCACAACAATACTGAGAAATATGTGCTATTGTTACTCTCATTTTACAGATGAGGAAAATGAGGCCTGCCTAAAATAAGTCAGGTAAGTTAGCTTCCAATCACAAAAGCAGGGCATAGGGTAAAGGTTCTGGGGATGAAAAGCTTAAAATCTTCAGGAGATTCTGGTCCAGAAGGATATTATTGAACCTGTCAAGAAGATGGTCATTGAGAAAGTAAAGTATGACTGGGGCCTACCTGACGTAATAGGACTGATGAAGTGGTCATCTCAATTGGGTCATTCGTCATTTTTTCCCACATCAGGAAAAACTCATCAGGAGTCAAAACTTGAATGAATTGAGTTATCTCAGATATGTAAAGTCTCATCCAGTAGAGGGTAGTATCCCCTGTCAATGGAAAATTGAGCCGTCAGTCACCATCAGGCCAATAAGCAATAGTAGAATAGCCACTGATGAGTGGATAGAGTGTTAGACTAGAGAGTTAGGAAGACCTGGGTCCCAACTCTGCCCTCAGATATTTATTAGCTGTATGATCCTGGGCAGATTATTGACCCTCTCTCTTCCTCAGTTTCACATCTGTAAAATGAGGAGGTTAGCCTTTAAACTTAGATGGTCTCTAAGTTTCCTTCCCACTCCAAATCTATGTTCTTATTCAATTAAAACAGTCACTGGCAAGCCCAGTCCTCGCAAATTGATGGTGCAATCTGCCAGGGATCACTATAATGATAGAAAGAAAAAGAAAGACTTTAAAAGATATCCTCCTACAGTAAATTCTAGTTTGCATGTACATTTTAAGTGCCCCTTAACTATTTGGGGGGGTCCCCATTAGCAACAAAATGCCTTCATGCAGCTCTGGAGAAAAGGAAAGTACTTTATTAGAAAATACTGTATTTCATTTTGCTCTTAGAAAACAAAACCAAACCAAACCGACATAGCAAGTTAGAGGAACAGAAGCCCTTCAGGGAGTATTTTATTTTGAGTGTCTTTACTTTTGGAAACAGCGGTAAGGAAAAAGCCATCTTACTTTATTGTGTTCCTACTCATAAGGGACTTATAAAAATAAAATAAAAAAAAAGAAGCAGCACATTGTTATTAGAATATAAATGTGTTTGTTGAGAGGAAAATCAAAACCAACACAAAGTTTAATATATGTTCTCCTTTTAGACTTTCTAGGTAAAAAACTGGGAAAAGTGAGAGAGTCGTGTGCATGAAGATGGATAAATTGCTTAACAGTTTGTACCTAATCTCCTCAGATCTGTTGAAAGCTTTTTGTGCAGGCCTGGAAGAAATCATTTCTATGAGAATTGTATAGACATTAGAGTCCTTGGGTTAATACGGTCCTCTTCAAAATGAACTTGAGTTAAAGGATCTTTTGGACAAAACCATGAGTGCCTAGTGATTTTTGTCCACTGTGATTCTATTTATGGAATAACAGAACTTAAATATTTGAGTTGGCATTTAGCAATGCCTGACCGACTCAAAAGCAAGGATGCAGTTTTCCTCATCACCCTTGTTCTAAGAGTTTTTAATAGAAGGGAAGAAGGTCACTTGTTTTGGTCAATATGGACCTGAATAATTGAGTACCAAATAAGGGAAAGAAAACTATCATATTACCATTTAAACTTTTCTAAAGCATCACAGTTCCCATGAGGGGAAATCCATATTGCATGTGTAGGCTATTTAATATTTGATAACTTCAATGCAACAACCAGTGTAGTTGAGAAAGTCCTGAATGAAGAGCCAGAAGACTGGAGACCTAGGCTCTGGTTTGGGCCTAGTTATAAATGACTGTGTGACCTTGAGCAAGTCATAACCAAGCTGCTGTTTCTTAGTTTTTGCATCTGTACATTGAGAAGGGTGGATTAAATGATCTCTAATCTAACCCTTCCAGCACAGTATTTATCTGCCAGCCACACATACATTGTTTACATTCTCAAACATATAGCTATATCTATATTCATCTATTTATCCATCTATCTATAGATATACATATAAATATACATATATGTGTATATACATGTGTGTATACCCACACATACACAAACACATAGTAATAGTCATATGGACAATATCCCCAAATGCTGTTTTCATCTTTTAAATAACCACTTCTTAGAATTGAGTAGCACTTTGATTTTTTTTTAATATTTCTTACTTTTAGCTTTTTAAGACAACAACTTACCTCTAGGTACAGTTTCCTTCTAAAAACTGTAGTTGAGCATAGAAGGATTTCCTATTCTCCTTAGTCATGTAATGGCACTTTGAGCTCTTGGAATCTACATTACTTTAGTTATTAAGTAGTAATTCTATAGTTTACATGTTCTTCCTTCATTTGACCTACCTGATAAGCAATGATCATTATCACACCTCTGACACAATTAAGCAAGTACAATACTTTCATATTGTGCATTATCCCTCATACCACAAGTAGCTGAAATATTCCTCATTATACCTCTCTTGCCTACTCTGAGAATCAGGTAATTATTATGCTCATCTTTGTGTGTCCTTCCCACTACTTGGTACTATAATAGTTTCCTTTGTACTCCTCAGAGCTCATAATGGTAATGTTCCCTGTTATATCTTTTTTGGAGTCACAAGCTAATAAGCTTCTTCATAACTTCCTTAGAGTTGCATCCATCATATTCTCCCTGTTTTTACTTAAAGTTGTGTAATCACATTAATTTAATTACTGTGGCATGCAGTTTGTGGAATGACTTGTAAAGTTTGTCAGTCAAGTTTGAACGGGGTTAACCTGGGTATCCGGAAGCAGACAGTGCTGGCAGCTGGTCAGTTTCCATGCCTGCTATACAACACAAATACCTTCCTGGTAGTAAAAATCAGCATGTTGATGATGCAATTTGCTGTAAGAACTGTGACTTTTTTTTTATAAAATTAACTGGATAGAAGTCAGAGACTGTATTGCGTGACATAAACAGTATTTTGCTAGCTTAATAACAATATCAGAAATAATAAATGATCAATGCAGACTTCCAAAAATGGTAAAAATTGTGCAACATATCACTACAGAAGATAAAAATTTAGTACTTAAATATCTAAAAAGTGATGACCAAGTGGCCAGAATTGTGCATCAGGAGATTGCTATTCTTCACAAACAGATTAAAAAAAAATCTCTATGCTTCAAATAAGAACCTCAAAATATCCTTGAGAATGTAACAAATAAATGTTACCAAAACTGGATAAAACTATTGCCAGCAAATTACCTGAATACAACATTGACAGACAAAAATTTAAGAACCAAATTTTTATTAGATCTTGTCAAACCGTACATTCATAACCTACAAACTACGAGGTATAAAAAGCTGTTTTGGTCCGACCCTGACGAGGCCTAGACCCCTGGTAGCGCAAGTTCTATAATGGAACCAAATGTACATTTAAAGGAAATGCAAAAGTTAGTAAAAGATTAACTAAACCATGGCAAGAAAAGGGTATTTAAATTACTTACGGTTTTTTTTAAATCTGTTTATGAAGAATATCATTCGCCTGATGTTTAATTCCAGTCACTTGATAGTGTCTTTCTAGATATTCATTCAGGTCTGCTAAATTTTTGCATCTTGTACTGATATGTTGCATAATTTCTACCATTTTTGCAAAGTCTGGATTGATCAAGAATATTATTGCTACTACTGTCATTATTTTATTGAGTAAGCAAAAGAATGCTTATAGGCATTGATAGTCCCTTTGGTTGATTTAACTGAGTGGAGCTCCCATTGAAATCCAAGTCAAGACATCATGGTGTCATCGGTCCTTTTTGAAAGGGAAGAACAAACAACAGCAACAGCGACACATCCCTCTCTCCCCCGGAGCGACTGCTGTGCCTCCTGGTTGCTTCATACTCGGAAGATGAGGAAGCAACACATACAGTCTGAGACTTCAATTCCCTGAGCCAACCAAGACTCCAAGAATGACTTGATAACCTTTGGAGGAAAAACTAGCCTAACCTGAGTAGGGAGAGTGGTTAGGATATTGTCCTAGCACAAAAGCTTTTGAAATATAAAGCCATAGTGGAAGGAATTAAAACTATATGGGAATAGAAGAAATACATATCATCCTTGTCATCTTGTCTGTTACTAGAGTTGTCTCGAAGATATTTCTGCAAGTCTACAAAAGATAGTGTAAACTAATATTGTCATTCCATTACAAAAACATCAGTCATTTTATTCACCAGCACAATAGTTTGCTGAATGCTATACATTGTTCCTTGTTCCAGAATCATTTCCTCCTGAGCCTTACAGAACAAAGATAAGTAAATGAGAATAGTTTACAATGCTTTAAATTTTGTAAAGAAGTTTACATGTATTGCTTATTTGATCCTCACAACAACCCTGTGAAGTAGTTGTTATTATCATTCTCATTTTATAGAAAATGAAACTGAGCTATGAGGAAGTAAGATTATTTCTCCAAGGTCAAACATCCAGTAAGTGATAGAAGCAGGATTTGAACCCAGGTCTTCTTGATTCCAGACAGCTAGTTTGTACTGGCTCTGAAGTTGAAAGGACCTGAGTTCAAATACAGCCTCAGACACTTAGTAGCTGTGTGACCCTGGGCAAATCACTTAACCCTGTTTGTCACATTTCCTCATCTGTAAAATAAGCTGGAAAAGAAAATGGCAAACCACTCCAGGATCTTTGCCAAGAAAACCCCAAATGGGGTCATGAAGAGTTGGACAAGAGTGAAAACAGTGAATAACAAGAAAACAAATTCTTGATTCTGAGCCTAAAGGTATATCCTGTAAAACTGGATAAAATGTTTTTGTTTGTAAGAGGACTATTTCTTCACAGAATCTGGATACCTGTAAAAGATCATGGATTGAGAAAAAAGCTTTTTTGAAAAAAAATTTTTTTATCCTTTTTTGAATCTTACTCATATTTTAAAATAATTATTAATGGGCATTATTGAGAAGTTCCATTTCTCCTTGGAATATCAAAGACAGGCAAAAATCTAGGTATTAGATTCTCTAAATTCTAGTTCAAACTTGGCCACTGATTTGCTGAGCACCTATGAAAACAATCATTTAACCTATGCTGTTTAATCTTTCTAGACCTCCATTTGTCCATCTAAAATTCCATTCTCTCCTATTTCACATGTATGTTATAAGGTTAATATGATCATACGGATAAATGAAGAGTTCATCATCAAAGAAATGTACCCTGAGTGAAAGCAATTCCATCTTGATGATAGCACTTTCACTAATCTATGCCATACAAATGAAGGATATTACAACCCTGAAATTTTTTTCTATGTTCATTCTACAATGCAAAGTGAGCTATTGCACTATAACTTCTCATTAGATGATATGAAAATTATCTGAAGGCATCTGTGCTCAGTTAAATTTCTTTCTATGGAAATTGTAATCATTGTCTTGAA